GAATTGATGTGATTGGTGGTAGTTTACCCTTATGTTAGGACCGATGTATTTGCTTACTGAATTTTTTGCAGGTGGTCACACTCGTGTAAGGCAATAAAAGGGGGCTAAATTAATAATTTTTATAAATGTTAAAGGTGCTCCAACTGCTTAGCTCCAAATAAATAGAAGCGTGGTCAAGTGTGATCTACTTTTTAATGTAAATATATGAAGTGCATGTGATTGATTTGATTTTAAATACTTAGCACAACCCTACAAGAGAGTCTAGATTTTTTTATTTTAAAGTAAATGTAATTTGTTTAAAGTTAATGGTTGTGAAAGTTAGACATTTAAGTCGGGATACATAGGTTCAAATTTGGATTCCAAGAGGAAAGGACATCCCTCAGGGGACGATTCTATTCCATATTGAAGCCCAAATTCAGACCATTTCACTAACCAAAGTGGAAAAGAATAACCTCCACTTCGGGGGAAGGTTTTTTTTTTATTTGAAAATCCAAATACGATAAATCCAAGGATCCCAAAGAGGACAAGATCAAGGAGTTGAAGACAAAGAATATCCAACTCAAAGTCAACTTGCATCGATTTTAGGATTAGAATTCGAGTTTATGATTAGTGGGTGCCCAGCCACTTTTAATTTATGTAATTTGTCAATAATAATAAACAGGTAGTTTGCCTATGAATATTTATTTAATTGATTTAATTTATTCATGTGTTTGATGTAATATGATTGCGTATATGGTTGCTTGTTTTTTAAAGTTTTTTTAGCGATTTGCATGTCGTTCTTGTTTTAGCTTGGATACATGAAGGCTTGTGAGAGTACGCTAAAACTTTTTCTACTTAAATCAATTAAAATTTTTAGACTAACATAAAAACTCTAACAATTAATTTAGCAACGCATTACAATACACATTCATTTAGAAGGTAAAGTTTAATTATAGGAGAAAAACACGTGCAATCATACAATGTAGGATGCCGATGATTTCATTATAGTATGTTCATTCGACATTTCTATTGCATTCTAAAAAGACTCTTGACATGGATCTATAGAATGCTGAGGATTTCATTCTAGCTTGTCGACTAAATATTGTTATTGCATTATAAAATAGTCTCCGGCATATATAGTTAGGATGCTAAAGATTTTATTATAGCATGTCATTCCGGCATCGCTATTGCATCTCAAAACGACTTATTGAAAGTTCGTTCGGGATGTTAAGCCCTATGAACTTAGTCCCAAGCTAACCAAGAGGGGGGGTGAATTGGTATTTAAAAAAAATTCTTAAGACAAAGAAAGAAAATCACAAACCAAATCACACAACAAAAGACATGAAAAAAGGTTTGCAACACTTATTGCACCTCAAAATGACTTATTGCACGTATTAGTAAGATACAGAGGGTTTCACTCCAATGTGTCACTCGACACTACAACTATATTTAAAAAATCTTCCTCTTACGTAAACAAAGGATATCACTCTAGTGTATCATTTGACACTATAATCGCATTTTAAAAATACCTTCGCATGCATTTAAAATAAGCAGAGGGTATCACTCCAATGTGTCATTTGACACTATAATTGCATTTTTAAAATACCTCCACATGAATTTATAATAAATAGAGAGTTTCACTCATACGTCATGTGACACTGCAATTGCATTTTAAAATCATAACATGTACACACGTGAATGCATCTAACGACATATACCCACATAGACCCTGGCGAGTGTGTTATAGGTACACATGTGACATCTTAGAATGATGCACGGGTTAAAAAATAAATTTAGTTTCAAACTAAATCCTCTTTCGACAAGTAGATATAGTTGACAAGATTCAATGAACAAAAGCATAACAATCCATAAACTTTCTGATGATGACCGTGTTGAATGTAAATCTTAACCGGAGGGATTTTAAGTTTTTTTCTTTTTAAATGACCTCAAAGTTGCCCCAATGATGGTTGTGTTGAACGTAAATTTCAATCGAAGGGATTAATTCTCAAAAATCTACCAAAAGCACTAAGCCTACAGCAGACCTGCTCCTCTATTAGTAAATAAGACAGTTGGTAAGGCTCAACTAATAAAACAAAATTACCCATATACCTTAATGATGATCGTGTTTACAGAGAATTTCAATCAGAGGGGACCACAAATATTCAAAATACACTCAAACGCCCATAAAAATCTAGAAACCCAAAAAACCAAAAGTTTAAGAAAATTAAAATTAAAAAATAAACCATCAAACAGTTAACGCACAAATATCCATCCACCTTCCTTAACAATTTGTCAAGATGGACAAATCTAAAAATCACCCTAGCTCACAAAGAGTTATTGTTTAGTCAAAAATATCACTAGGATTCATTCTTAATCTTTCTCTTGCTAGTAAGGACGTGTCACGTGTTCTCTAATTAGTGGTTTCACCGCCATATGACACCACACTGCGGGTTTCGTCGCTAAAGTCACCATAGGTAAACAGTTATGACCGGGGTCCTCTAAACTGGGTGGTTTTCCACCAAATGACACCATTATATTACGGTCATAACCAGAGCCCGTATACTCCCCAATGAAATTAAATCCTTAAGATATGAATCAATATATAGGATATAATCAATATGGAATGAAGCTCTTTGTTAGCTAAGGTAGATTCAAATTTGTCCTCTTAGACAAATATCCACCCCACCTCTACAAGGTACCCTTAGATGATACAACCCATAGCTACTGACAAGGATCCTTCTGTTAGATTGGTCGACTACCTCCTATGACTAAGTAGACTAGGGACCACGATGGCCCGGGATGACAAAACCATTGGATATTGATTGTGCTCATCAATCATCACCATTCCCATACCATCCGCTTTAAGTATAAGGTGTTGAAACTTCAATATTAAAATATCAATTTTCAAAAATCTAAACCAATGCTGCTACTATATACCAAATATCACTTATTTACGGGTACAATGTATTCACTTGACTGTTGGCCTTAATCGAAAGTTCTCTCTCATTATCGAGAGGGGCAATTAACTATAAGGGGCTTGCGCCTATAAGAATTCAAAACTTAAATCATAAAGTCCTCGCTAAATGAGGATGAAATATTTGGGTGTGTATTATCTACAATCTCAATCTGCCATCTGAAAATTTATCTCAGAACTTGATATGTTAAAACTCCCCAGCAAAAGCAGAGGGGAATCGTGGTGCGAATTTTTGGAGCCCACACTCTAGTACTTTTCGTTCAGCTTCCGGCTGATCATCCTCTGTCATTACATTGTGCTCCACCATGTTGGTTACAATGATCGCATGCTCCACCACGATGGCCGCATGCTCCACCTTTTGCTCGATGACTACTGAGTGCTCACTAGATTCTGTCATGTCTTCCACTTATAGCTCTATTTGTGTCTTTTTGTGTTTTGTTTTTTATTTTTCTCGAAGATGGAGGAGGTTTATAGGACTTTATGATCTGAGTTATGATTTCCTATGACATTGCTTTAATATTAGCAAAAAATAAAAAAAATAAAAATAAATTGCTTTAATATTAGCGAGTTGAGCCTGATTATGACATGCATTTTAACTTTTTATGACCTTGTAAGGCATATTTCAAATAACCCTTTTTTAACATTTTTTCTGACGTTAAAATGGATTCAAATGGTATTTTAAAAGTTGGCTTCTTATGACACATGTCATAAACAGTCAAATAGGAAAACAGAATCAATTGGGCAAAAAGAATCAAGAAAATGAGTATATGATGCCTTAAAAGGTTTTTTTTAATTTATTTTTTTATGCCTGACAAGGTCAAAACCAACAGGGTTTAGGGTTTAGGATATACATCAATAATACATAAGTACAGATGTATACTATATTCCCTAATATGTTGAAATGCATTCTCTACGTGGAAGACATTACAGAATCTTGTGAGCACTCAGTAGTCATCGAGCAAGTGGTGGAGCAGGCGATTGCCGTGACCAGCATGCATGGTGGAGCATAATTTGACGATGGAAGATGAGTAGCCGGAAGTCGAACAAAAAGGACTAGAGTGTGGGCTCCAAAAATTGGTGTCCCGACAAACATAATCAAGAAAATAAGTATATGCCTTACAAGGTCAAAACCAACAGGGTTTAGGGTTTAGGATATACATCAATAATATATAAGTACAGATGTATACTATATTCCCTAATATGTTAAAATGAATTCTCTTCATGCTTAGTATACATCAATAAAATAGTATTATGTTTTCTGTCATTTATGCTGTAAATAATAGATTATAAAAATGGTAAAGCATAAATGATCACCGAAATTGATGGTGAAATATTATTTTTATTCAACATGCATGCTTTATAATCTTTTATGAAAATTTTCATTCATAATGCTTGATGACTTAAAATTCATTTGGGACGACTTTCTTACCGCTTCTTAAAACAATTTTTTAATACAAAAATTTAAATTTTTATATTAAGAAGCCGCTTTAAAAAACAGTAAAAAAAAATCTTCCCAAATGAAGCCTTAGGCTTCGTTTGGGACGGCTTTTTTTCTGCTTCCTAAAGCAACTTCTTGGTACAAAAATTAAAATTTTCATACTATGAAGTTGCTTTAAAAAGCAATAAAAAAGCAGCAAACGAAACCTTAATCAAGCATTGATAATCTATATGAGCAGAATGCATTCAACTATTTAAAAAACTATTAAGATTCCATATGAAAATCCATTAAGATTATATATGAACTTTAAACAGTTCTGCTTCATTGCACAGTTACTCAATATTCCATTTCATTAATTTATTCAATTTTTTATATCATATGAATTTTAAAAATGAACATAAATATTAGATAAAAAGCTAAATATTTAGATATGAAAATGATATATAAACAAATATAAAGATTTAAATATTAAATATATTTAAAAATGAATGCACATCAATTATTCATATATTGTACTGATCTCAAACAAAATCTAATAATCTTAAAGCTCATTCTTTTTTTTTTTTAATTTCTTCAATGTAAAACTCATAGTTATGAAAACAGGTCATCTTTTTCTCCCTCACATGAATACAGGAAGCCACCTGTGTACTTTACATGAGCAAATAAATCATCTGATACACAGGTAGAGCACCTGTACCATTCTACACAAGTGCTCACTACCTGTACACAAATCTGATGTTGATATCATATAAAGGACACATGAAAACTAGTTCAAAAATTTCTGCATGTGTTTCAATTGATGGAGAAATGATTTATTTACAAAGAAGAGTTTCTTAATTACACTGGGGTTGTCCAGTTAACAAGCAAGCTCCATAATAGAAATCCTATGTTACACAGCACCACCTGGATACTGCAAAAAAATAACAATAAATAAAGAACTCAAAAAAAAATTTACATAAACCAATTCTCAAACTAGTGATTAGACTGACAAAATGAAATTCTGCAAAAATTAATTAAAATAAAATGAAAAAAAAAAAGTAATAGTGGTGCCAAAGTTATTCACAAATTGCTTCCCAATCATATTAAGCCGGTTCAATTGGAACCGGCCCAACCGGCCCTGTTGAATCCGGTTCGGTTCTATAGGTTGCGGAATAATACCGCCTCTTGTATGGAGGTCGTCCAAACAAGGGGGCACACAAATTTAATTAACCTAATAATAGCAAGGAGGGGGGCGGCTAATCCTTGGGATGGAATTTTTGAATTAAAAATTATTGCACTAAATAGGCATGAGAGGCTAGGATTAGGATTATGCTAATTATTGTATTCTCTTGGAGTTCCCTTGTGTGTTTTGGGCCCTAGATTTATTGTCTAGGGATTGAGAGAGCAGATCCTCCTCTTGAATTGAGGATCAATTGTATCTTGCTTTGATTCTTCTTCCGTTCGTTTAAATTCTTGCAATAGAACTACTAATTGGTGTGATTTCTGTTAGACCGGTCCTCCTTGGACCGATCCAGCCGGCCCAGCCCCTTGGGCCGGCTCAGTTCGTATACAGCAGGAGGAGCCGGGGGGGAGATTTAGGTGGGGTCCACTTGAAATTCAAATTGAATCTTGAAGCCAAAAGGAGGGGAAGCAAGGGTAATTAGGTCCTTTTGTATTAGATTTGAATTGTATGCATTAAGTAGGGAGTAAAGAGAGGATTAGGGTTAGGTCATACTGTGTGAGAATTTTCTTGTTCTTCTTTGGTGGCTAGGGCTCTAGATCGAATTCTAGAGATTGGAAGAGTGCTCCTGAGATTTTCTCATAATTTGCAAGCCGTAGGAGATGGCGGCTAAGAAGGTGGATGCTTTGGAGGAGAGACTTGAAGGAGAGATAAATTAAATCAAGGAGACCGTGGAGGAACGAATGTCTTCCATGGAGGAGCAAGTGACCGATCTACGGGATATGATGAAAAAGATGTTGGAGTTTCAAACTCAATCGGCAGCATCTGATGCAAAAGGGCCAGCAGCGAAGAACACCAACTCTGAAATCCATCGGGAGTAGGGGAAGGCCTCATTTGGAGCCTTTCCAGAGGGAGGAGAAAGGAGGAAGATATGGGGAAAGGCAAGGCTGTGGAGGCGTGGAACCAAGAGGTGCTGGTTGGGAGCATCGGGGTGGTTATCATGGGAGCCGGGAAGCTATTTTTGAAGATCGGAGAGGGGATTTTGAAAGGGGATGGGGACAGGATAGAGCAAGGGAAGATAGGGAGACATGGGGGGGCCAGGCACATGGGAGAGGGGAAACTATGGAGGATTAAGGGGGAACGGCAGGGATCGGAAGGTGAGAAAATTAAAAATGCCCATTTTTGAAGGGGATGATGCCTATGGGTGGATCTACAAAGTAGATAGGTACTTTACTGTTAACGGCTTGACGGAGGAGGAGAAATTATCGGCAGCGGGCTTGTGTATGGAAGGGAAGGCACTCTCTTGGTACCAGTGGAGAGATCAGAGGAGACCTATCCGGAGCTGGGGAGAATTCAAGGACAATTTGTTAGAGCGTTTCCAAACCGACCGGGGAGGAGACTTCTACGAGCAATTCTTTGCCCTAGTGCAGGAGGGTTCTGTGGCGGACTACCGAGAGAGGTTTGAGCATCTGGCCAGCAGGGTAGAGCGCTTGTCCGAGATAGTGCTGGAGGGGAATTTTATGAAGGGGTTAAAGGCCGAGGTTTGAGCAGCGGTGAAGGTCCTGATGCCCAGGGACCTGGGGGAGGCCATGAAACTTGCACAGTTTGTTGAAAATCAAAAGAACCTGGAGAAGGGAGCTAGGAGTAGTAGTAGCTCAGAAGGCACTTACAGGTGGACGACTACCCACCTAGCCCCCAAGGAAGCATCCCCAGGAGGGATGAAAGAAACGAACGAAAAAAGCCACAGGACGAGGAAATGGGGGGCAGTTCAAGAGGCTCACTGAGAAGGAAATGCATGAGAAAAGAACAAAAGGGCTGTGCTTCCGATGCGATGAAAAATACACGCCAGGGCACAAGTGCAAGGATCGAACTCTTCAAGTTCTCCCGTTTGTGAAGACGAGGAAGACGAAGAGGGAGAGGGAAGCGATTCTGAGATGGAGGAGGAAAAGATGCATCTGGATGTGGCAGAAGTCTATCTCAACTCCATAGTGGGATTCACTCCAAGTCACACTATGAAGGTAAAGGGAGAGATAGCTGACCGTGGAGTCATGGTGTTGATTGATAGTGGGGCAACCCACAATTTTATTTCCACCCAGATTGTGGAGCTGCTGAGGATGAAGTTAGAAGATACTGGAGGCTATGAGGTGATGATGGGCACAGGGAAGGTAGAAATGGGAAGAGGAGTCTGCAGGGGGGTGGTGCTGAAGATCCACAGTATACAAGTGAAGGAAGACTTCCTTCCCCAAGAATTGGGGAGTACGAATGTCATCCTAGGGATGAAGTGGTTGCAGACATTGGGGGAAACCAAAGTAAATTGAGGCACTCTGCGAATGGAGTTGATAAAGGGTGGAAGGAAGAGGGTGATTCAAGGGGATGCAGGGCTGACCAAGGCAGGGGTTTCTCTTAAAGCCCTAATCAAGACAATTCAAGAGGAGGGGGAAGGCTACTTGGTGGAATTACACTGATTAGGAGTGAGTGTGGAGGAAGGGGGAGACATACCCCTCTCTGTGCAGCCCTTGATCCAGGAATTTGAGGAGGTTTTTCAACCACCTCTAGAGTTGCCACCACCAAGGGAGTAGGAGCATGCCATCACGTTAAGGGATGGAGTGTCACCTGTTAGTGTACGACCAAACCGTTACCCTCAGTTTCAGAATGATGAAATAGAAAAGTTGATCAGAGAAATGCTTGAAGCAGGGATTATCAGGCCCAACACTAGCCCGTTCTCTAGTCCTGTTCTATTGGTGAAAAAAAAAGGATGGCAGCTGGCGCTTCTGTGTAGACTACCGCGCACTCAACAAGGAAATTGTACCTGATAAGTTTCTCATACCAGTGATTGATGAGCTTCTATATGAGTTGAGTGAAACAGTGATTTTCAGCAAGATCGACTTGAAATCAGGATATCACCAGATACGAATGAAGAAAGAAGATGTGTCCAAGACTGCCTTTAGAACTCATGATGGCCACTATGAGTTCCTAGTGATGCCCTTTGGCCTCACCAATGCCCCAGCTACGTTCTAGGCACTCATAAATAAGATCTTCAAACAGCATCTCAGGCGATTCGTGTTGGTATTCTTCGATGACATCTTAGTATATAGCAGAACAGAGGAGGAGCATTAGGGACACTTAAAGAAGGTGTTAGAGGTTCTCCAGGAGCACCAGTTGAGGGCTAACTTGAAGAAGTGCTGCTTCGCACAAGCTAGTGTGGAATACTTGGGGCATATGGTATCCAAGGAAGGGGTAACAGCAGATCAGTCCAAGATTGAGGCTATGCTTAAATGGCCACTGCCCAAAAATCTAAAGGAGCTGAGGGGATTCCTAGGGCTTACAGGTTACTACAGAAGATTTATAAAGGGATACAGCACTATAGCTTAGCCACTCACTAAGCAGTTGAAGAAAGATGGGTTCTTATGGGGGGAGACAGCTACGAAAGCATTCGAGAAGTTAAAGAAAGCTATGACCAAAGTCCTGATCTTAGCTTTACCAGATTTTACTCAGTTCTTTATAGTGGAGACAGATGCATCTGGATACGGACTAGGAGCAGTGCTGACGCAGAGTCACAGGCCCATTGCATATTTCAATCAGGTGTTGCCAACGGAGCCTGAAATATTTGTTGGAGCAGCGCATGGTGACAGAGGAGCATCAGAGGTGGCTATCAAAACTGCTCGGGTATGATTTTGAGATTCAGTATAGGCGAGGGAGAGAAAATAAGGCAGCGAATGCCTTGTCCAGGTGTATGGGGGAGCTGCAGACAGTGGCTGTGTCAGTCCCAATGATGCTAGATTGAGAAGCCATAAAGGATGAGAGCGCCAAAGACGAGGAACT